CACAACCTTGAACAGGTATGTATGTGTACAACTGTCAAATCAAAACTTCAACATCTGAACCTAACAGCAATTATAAGATACATGTACATACAGAAATAGTTGTGGCTGAGGGTTGACAAGGATGTGGAAACCACAGCAGTGTTGACAAAAACAGGATCGTACCAGATCAGACTGCATCAGATCATGAATTGGATCAAGGATTGGAACATGTGGTGGATCACAAGTCACATCATGGGTTGCATCACAAGTCACATCATGGGTCTGATCACAGATTGCAAAAAAGTCAAATTGTTTTTTAAATAATAATAATAAATAAAATATAAGATTAAGTGGATAAGGGAGTAAGTTTCTGAAGAAACCGTGGTGCTAGCTGTGTTGGTGGGAGAGTATAACAAGGTAATTTGGTATTATCAACTGAACTGATAATGTGATTAACTTGGCCTTCGTTACGATCTTCAAAAATGAGCGTTGGCCCTTCATCAGAGTGAATGACATAGGAATGTTTCCCTCTGACAAAGGGCTAACACTTAATGGTGGCCAATTAACTCTATCAACTTGTTAATAATACCAAATTACCTCAAAATAAAGTCTGCATGACATAATGGAGTGCAAACCCCACTGGAAGTTTTTCTGCCCCAAAACTCCATGCATGTAGTCACTTTCACAGCTGTGTCAAGGAGTTTTGTGGAGTGCTGCAATGGACCAAGGCAAGTGAGAGGTATGTATCGTTTCACCAATCAGTCTTTATTTCTCTTTTTTAATATCATCTCATGTGCTACTTTTCTTTTATTCAATATCACTTACCACATGTGAGTAAAGAGGCAAGGTGCAGAGTAAAAAATGGTTTAGATATGACAGCTGGAGTGTATGTGAGCAATATATGTATTTTCACAACTATTGATTTCATTCCGGCTTGTCATGTAACATTTCTAATTTAAATTAACATATTTCAGTTTTTCAATCCTATTTTTATTTATTTTTATTTTAAAAACAATTATACATATATATATATATTTTTTTTCAAAACTTTTTTTGGTCTGTGATGCGACCTATCATGCAACCCATCATGCGACCTGTGATGTGACTCATTATGTCACCTGTGATTTGTTCCATGATCCTGTTTGTGATCCAATCCAGTCCAATCCAGCTTTTCTCAATGCC